GAAAGAAAGAAAGAAAGAAAGAAAGAAAGAAAGAAAGAAAGAAAGAAAGAAAGAAAGAAAGAAAGAAAGGAAAGAGAACATGATAATGAAATTGAGTCCTATAATTTTTCTTTCTAGAAACATCACAAAGAATATTGATCAATTGATAGCCTTGGGTGATGTTTGCCAGAGATGGGATTGAACTCATATTTTGAGTATTTTGAGGTTTTGTTGTTGTTATTTACTTGCTGGCTAGTGTGTCTTTCTTTTTCTTTCTCTGTTAATACCTGGTCTCACTACATAGCTCTGGGTGGTTTTGAACTTGAAGTAGCCATTCTGTCTGTCTCCCTGGTATTGAGATCATAGGAGTGTGCCACATCGTCTACCTTTATTTATTTTGTGAGCTGAAAGCTAAAATTGTATTTATTATGTACAACAATGATAGCCTGAAGTATACACACATTGTGGAGTACCTAATTCAGATAATTACACCCACCACTTCACATAGCTTCATTTTTATGATGGAAAAAATACTGTTAGCATTTCTCAAAATACAGTATGGATGCTTGCTGGGACTTTAGGACCTCAACGTAAAGTTTACTGAAAGGAAGTAGAAAAAAAAATGGAGAGAAAATTGTTTCTCGTCTCACAGGCCTGTATCAATCTATTTCTCTTATGTTTATGATCTATAAAAAAGGATTGTCACGAATGGTGAGAGCACTTGCCTTTTCACAGTGCAGAGCAGGACTACCTGGGAGGCAAATTTACCTTCAGCTAGTGTGAGGAGCCTTATGGGAGCCATGGTCTCACTATGGTGCTCCTGTGCTGGCCTCCTATAGTGCTCACTATGGCTATGGACTGGCAGTGATCCTCCTGCCTCTGCCTCCCCACTGCACTGTGTGCTTGGATGATAGATGTGTGCCACAAAACTCACAATGCTTATTTACTTTATAGGTCCTTCTTTAAAATTCTCTGTTTATAGAACTATCTTCGTGTGTGTGTGTGTGTGTGTGTGTGTGTGTGTGTGTGTGTGTGTGTTCGATCCCATGAGTTTGAGAAGCAGGAATTGCTCACTTCACCAGAACAGTAAAAAAAAAAAATTAGAGTTATAGAATTTGCATCCAACAAGCCAGAATCAAAAATAAAGCCGACATCTGCCTGAATCAAAGCATGTCTCATTCCTATATTATCTAACGTCACATGAGGGCATGCAGAAATTCACTAGCAAGCCAAGAATTTCTAAAATGGACTTAGCATTGAGAATGGATTTACCAAACTGTTAGTCAGTAAATGCCTTAGTTGAGGCTTTGGGCAAGTAACCAGAGAATAAGTTGGAGAAAGAAGAGGATGTCTGTCCCTTCCTAGGTCTGAAGAGAGCTAAGAACAATTATAAAAAAACAAAACACATCAGAGACAAGACAGTGCTCCTCTGGAAGCAAGGAGAAGCCACTGTGTTCACCAGAATTATTTGTCTGCTGGGATTAGAATTACAAATACTAAATAGTGTTCAGTTTCAGGAATGATGTGTCCAAAGTGTTTTAGTCATATAACAGATAAAAGAATCAAAGGTAAGTTGAAAACATTGCTTGCCAAGAATGTACACAGTGCTTCTCAACATGTATCTATGTTTCAGTCATCACAACTTTAACAATAATCTCTTCCACTGAATATGTCTTACCCTTTAACCCTGAGCAAATAGATGTCTTGCCTGGGACCTGTTTATGTATTTATTACTACTGTACATCTAGTACCTGAAAAATTATTATAATCACACAGCTTAGTATTTCCTGATACTATTTGATGGCTTCTGTTGAGATCTCTCCTAAGGTAGGCTACATTGCTAAACTTATTAGTATTAATATTAGTTAAAGTAATAATTTTAATTGTTTTTAAATGTGATGCATACAATGATACATTTGTTATACCTTTCTCACCTCCTTGGATTCCTATGTTCTAGAAAGCAGCAAATGCACTCAAGCTTAGAATAAGTCTAGACAACACAACTCCAAATGCAGATTCTCTTCAGTTTTTTTCCTCATTTTTTAAAATGACTTATTTATTTTTATTTTATGAGAATTGGTGTTTTGCCTGCATTTATGTCTATATGAGGGTATCAAATCACTTTGAGCTGGATTGCAGACAGTTGTGATCTGCCATCTGAGTGCTGAGAATTGAACCTGAGTCCTCTGGAAGAGCAGCCAGTGCTCTTAACCACTGAGCCATCTCTCCAGCCCCTCCTTTTCCTAATGTTTACTGTTTTGGGGGTTTTTGTTTGGTTCATTTTTGGTTGTTGGTTGTTGGTTCATTTTTTGTTTGGGGGCTTTTTGGTGTTTGTTTGTTTGTTTGTTTGTTTGTTTGTTTGTTTGTGACAAGGTTTCTCTGTATAGCGCTGGCTGTCCTAGAACTTTCTCTGTACACTATGCTGGCCCATCTTCCCTAATTTTTAAACTAAGTTTATCTTTAAGGTTTACATGGGTGACATCTAGACTATGTGACTCAGAAATCCTTAAAAATGTAATGATAGTAAGCAATCCTCATGCCCAGGAAGAAATAGCCCTGAGGATGCCATGACTCTGGGTTCTCATAAAAGCCCATCCAGAACTGAGGCCAATGGCAACAGCCTAGCCTTGCAGAATAGTTAATAATGATTTATGAGAAGCTGGTGTTTTATGTGGTCCTAGATATGCAGGAAAATTGAGTTCAACGTTTGTCAAATTCACATCTTTCTCTCAAAGGTACAAATGTATTGAAGAAAGCTATGATAACAATGCAATACAGCATTTCAAAATTAAGGGAATGTCATATTAATTTTTTCATTCAACGTCTTACATGAGTTCTGAGAAAGAAACATTTCCTTTTATCAGAAATTGCCAAAAGTTTTTCCCAAATGTGTGATTTGAATAAAGCCTAGCTACAAAGCATCTAAAAATAAAAATATGAATAAGCCTACTTAAATAATAGAGGCAAGAAAGCACAGCTCTCCTCTTTCCTGTCCTCTGGGGTACATGTCTTCAGAACAGCGTGGCCAGCAGAGTTTTTACCTTCTCAGATGAAACACTTGGGAAATGTGTAACGAGTTGGAACTATGCAGTAACCATGAATAAAATTTTTGTGAGAGGAGTAATATAACATTTTATATTATATTTATATTATCTTATATACAAGAAGACTAGTCTGCCCTCAGAGGGACACTGTGGTGAAGACATACAGGAAAGACAGTCACAGAGTGGACTGGAGGGAGGTGGTGATGGCCAGAATCCTCTAGAAAGACTGTGGTTCTCTCTGAGGGAAAAAGGATTCAGACAAGTGCTGAAGTGTGCCTAGAATATTCTGTCTTGGAATGGATGAATAGAGAGAAGAGGAAAAAGACGTGCCAGAATTTGACTTTGGAGCAGAATAAAAATATGAAAGAAAGGATCACCAGATAAAAGTATGAGATGGAAGAATTTATGGCTCCTACTATAAAATAATAAGGCAAACACAATAGAGAATATGTAGGTACATGTTAGGGGAAAATTACAATCAGGAGTAGGAGTATAGATGTACAGAGAATGAAAAACCAGTGAGCATTACATGAACCATAGACAAGCACGGGGATTCCAGGAGCTCATTTTGTAGCTGTAAAGAGTTCCCAGAGAGTGTGTGGACACAAGTCAGCCAGATGGACGAGGGCTACCATGCCCAAGGATCCAAACACCGGCCTTATTAACGGAATGAAGACAGAAGCACAATTCAGTCATAAACTTAAGAACGCTGGGCTGTGTCACCAGAACTCCTGTGAAGACGATTCTGAGAGACAACAGCTTGATTGAGAGTTTTCCTTTTGTGGAACAGGAAGGCGAAGGAATGGCAGGTTAGAAGTAAAGCCTGGAGCACGTGCAGTGCCCCTGCCCGTCTCCCGTGCTTCTGCTAACGTGTAAGGATGCCTTTCCTCCCCACCCGGCCCGAGACTGCACTCTGATGACAGGTCCTCCATGGAGTGTGTAAACGAGACCGTGGTGAAGGAGTTTGTCTTCCTCGGCTTCTCGGCGCTGGCTGAGCTGCAGCTGCTGCTCTTCGTTATCTTCCTGCTCCTCTATTTGTTCACTCTGAGCACCAATGCCGTGATTCTCTCCACCATTGTGCTGGACAGAGCCCTCCACACCCCCATGTACTTCTTCCTTTCTGTCCTCTCCTGTTCAGAGACCTGCTACACCTTTGTGATCGTGCCCAAGATGCTGGTTGACTTGCTGGCTCGGAAGAAGAGCATCTCGTTCCTCGGCTGTGCGGTCCAAATGTTCGCCTTCCTCTTCCTTGGCTGTTCCCACTCCTTCCTGCTGGCGGCCATGGGTTATGATCGCTACGTGGCCATTTGCCACCCTCTGCGCTACACGGTGCTCATGGGACACAGAGTGTGTGCAGGGCTAGTGGCTGCTGCCTGTGTCTGCGGCTTCACCGTGGCACAGATGATCACATCCTTGGTGTTTCACCTGCCCTTCCACTCTTCCAACCAGCTCCGTCACTTTTTCTGTGACATCTCCCCTGTCCTCAAGGCGGCTTGCCTCCATGCCCATTTCACTCAGATCGCCATCTTCCTGCTCTGTGCCTTGGTCCTGGTTATCCCTCTGTTGTTGATCCTCACGTCCTACATTCACATCATCTCTGCCATCCTCCAGTTCCCTTCCACGTTAGGCAGGTACAAAGCGTTTTCCACCTGTGCGTCTCACCTCGTTGTTGTCATAGTCCACTACGGATGTGCCTCCTTTATCTACCTCAGGCCCAAGTCCGGCTACTCCTCAAGCCAGGACGCTCTGATATCAGTATCCTACACTATCCTAACTCCATTGTTCAACCCAGTCATCTATAGCTTAAGAAACAAAGAGTTCAAGTCAGCTCTCCACAGAGTTATAGGAAGAGTAGTTACCCTAAGACAATGCTAATTTGTATCCTGCCCTCTTTTTCAAATAACTAAGAGCAATGGACTCAGGGACATTCTCAAGATGGAAATAACTAAGCAATTGAGCACTGTGCTCAGAAATAGAGAATGTTTTTCCCTCACTTCCAATACAGAATTCAGAACCACATATTCTTGCCTTGGTGACATGAATTATTGTCCACTAAAGAATACTACATGGAGGAGTTGGGGATTTAGCTCAGTGGTAGAGCGCTTGCCTAGCAAGTGCAAGGCCCTGGGTTCGGTCCTCAGCTCCAGAAAAAAAAAAAAATTACTACATGGGCCTATTTCTGTTCTAGGGAGTCAGTGTTGCGGCTAGTCTCAACTGTCAATTCAAATAGGATCTAGAATCAGCTAAGACACATACTTCTGGGCAGGTGTGTGAAAGCATTTCCAGAAGGGATTAGCTAAGGGGAGAGCCTCCTTCAGAGTGAACAGAACCTTTCAACATGTAGCCCAGATGTAAAAAGGCCTAAGGAAAAGGGTGTTGTTTGCCTGCCTACTTTCCCATATTGCATCTGTGTCTGTTATTTTTGTTGTTGCTGTGGCTGCTTTAGAATCCCACACAGAGGACACAGATGGAAGACAAGGACAGAGGACACAGACAGAGGACAAGTGGATTTCCAGAGACCTTCCAGTCCTTTAGTGCAAACTTTTTGGCTGCTGAGAAATCAGCCTCATGGAATGAGCATCTGTAAATGTCCTCAGCCTCTCAGCCACATGCACATAGCCATTGGACTACACAGTCCGTCCCCACTCCCCACTGTGCAGAGCACTCTAGCTGCTCTGTCCCCCAGGGAACCTTCTCTGGTGCACCTGGGAAGTGGGTTTTTTTTTTCCCTAGGTTGTGTCCTTTCTGAATAATTTCTGAATTGTGTTATTTCGATACAATTAAGTTACAACTTTAATGAGATAATTGGACAACTACCAGTTAAAGTTTGGTGCATATGATATAGGCAATTGATGCTCTCATGAGAAAGTCACGAAACAACTATTTTGGGGTTTCTTTAAGTTTTTGTTCAGAATCACTCCATGCTGATGATATCAGGGTATCTAATGAATAAGGCTACCTTTTCTAATTTTTACCCACTGGGAAAAGTCAAAGTTTAAAACATATTTTACTCAACATTCACCAAGTGAAAAACCCTGTGTAGGGTCACCAGTGTCTGCTCTTCGTGTGACTCGGGGCCCACTTGTGTTGGGGACCAGAACTAGAGAAGGAGGTTTTGCTTATCTCTCTATGAAGCCCTGGGAAACAAGTGGAACACAGCAGTATAGATGTCTGTCCATGTCCCTTTCCAGAGTCTGCTTGTGAAGGAAGGTTTCTGAATTCATTTTTTCTTCCTCTTTTCCTTTTCTTCCACAAATGAGTTCTTCAGTGATGAAGATTAGTGGTGTACACCTTCCAGGTAGTGAAAGAAGAAGAAGAAAAGGACTCTCACATCAGAAGCCTGCTCATTTTACAGCATTCTGTTAGGGTATTAGTCAAGTTCATTTCTTCCGTATCTTTAAAGCTTGAGACATTGTAAGGATAGAGCTTGAAGAAAATGAATATTGAAGCAAACTTAACTTATGTAGCCATTAAATTACTTTTTTTCTTTTGCATGATAATTACCTCAGTCTTCTGGCCTATCAAGTTGGCTTATGCAAAGGAATTGGACTTATAACCCCTACTATGAATCCCTTTAATATGTCAATCGTTTGTGCTTGTATTGTATGAAATTTCTATAAAATGTTGCTTCATTTGTACCTTAAAGCAGCCTTGAGAAGCATGCATTATGGTCCAATCTTGTAGGTAATAAACTGATACTAAGAGAACTAAAAAGATTTCCCTACTGATGAGTAGAAGAACTTGTGTTGAGTGTACATTTAATGCTAAAATTCTGCCCTCAAGCCGGGCGGTGGTGGCGCACGCCTTTAAT